TTAGCTCAATCCAATTTATGAAAATCAAATAAAATTGCTCGTCTGTGAGGGTCTATTTTTTCTCCAATTACTTTTTTTATATTTTTTACATTTGTATGGGGATGAAAACTATAGACCCCCAAAATCTTAGCTCAACTGATGGATAGAAAAAATAAAATTGAAACACTCAATACATGAGTTTGAGCATGGATCATGTCCAAACAAATCCACCCTTAACACTTCACTAGTTCTCAAACTAAGCAATGAAAGAACCTCGATCTTAAATCATTGAATGGCATAGGTGCATTAGCCGTTCATCACATGGAGTTAACAGTCACAATACTGTGGTGATCTGGTATTAGGGCTTTCAAATTGTGTTCATGAAGCTCCAAAACCGGTGGAATGGTTTGATGACAGCTAAGATATACGAGATTTCAATTATTCATCAAGACACAAGGCCACCAACGGAAGGCTGCTAATCTGATTTTTCGAAATCAATTGATCTCGTGATAAGAGAAAGTAGACTTAGGTAGGCTGGCCATGTGCAGCACAGACCTAGTATAGCGCATGTTAGGAGGTGTGAGTTAGTTCAAGTGGAAAGCAAAAAAATAACACAGGGTATGCCCAAAAGGACATAATTGGAAGTAGTAAAAAAAAAAATTGGGATTTATGACCCTACTGAAGGTATGACCATTGATAGAACAGAATGGCATACCAAAATTCATATAGCCAACTCCAAATAGTTGGAAAAAGGCTCCAAGGATTATAATGATAAATTGATCTCATGATGTTCAAACAATTCTAATAAAAACTTCACCTCCCAAGTTCGATTATCAAAACAAGATGATAGACCAATGACATTGGTTTCAATCTAAGAAAATAATGCCCACTTGTGGATTTGAAATTGAATTTTTTTGCATTTTGCTTTACTTTTTCTGTCTTCATGTTTGACTTTTATAAAAAAGGAATCCTATCTTTAAATCATGATGTTTCCTTCAAATCTCGCTCCATCCATTATAGGACGTTGTTTGATTAAATATTTAGATGCTCTCCTTTAAATTGTGTCTCCTTTTAAGGGTTTCCCTTTCCTTCCCCTTTCTAGTTGTGTATCTATTTTAAGATGCATCACTTTATGGTTAATGGCAAAACCCTACTGTTGAGCAAAGTTTTGCCAATAAAAAGGGGTATACTCACGCTTGAATAGTGTTATGCCTCGGTGGAGCAATAAAATTCTTTCAGCTTGGAAATTGGACATCCAAATGGGGCGCTAAGTAGTCGATGCTATTAAGAGCAAACCTAGGTGTGTGCATATGTGTGTGTTTTATTAGTTGATGGAGGACTGTGTTGGGGTAAGGGTGGCAACGGGTCGGGCTAGGTCAAAAAATGAAAAAAAAATAAAATAAAAAAGTAGGCCGGGCTGGGACAACATTGACCCTAGCCTGGCCCTCGGGCTATAATTTGTGAACCAAGCTCTACGTTTTTAGGATCTGGCTGCCTAACCCATAACTAACCCTAGGTGGTTAGGGAAGCTCTTGCCTCAATATAACATCCCACCCTCCATTCAACATTTCAAAGAAGCAGAAAAGAAAAAAAGACTTCCACCTTCTCGAAGGGCCAAGTCAATCTATTAGGCAAAAAAAAGTAGACAAACCCATTTGGAAGCCTTTCGAGATAGTAGATCTTCGAAGAAACCTCATTGCGTTGCCAAGCATTGTTTTTTTATAGGCCTATTGAGGGTTGGTATCTTCTTAATAATATATGGTTTAGGCTATGCAAGTTAACATTCAAAAAATATATATATCCTTTAGACTTATTTTTCTTCATCTCGTAGTAAACATCGATTTAGAAGGTTTCGACGAAATACCACGTGGACAACAACTATGGTTTAAGGGTGGCAATGGGCCAGGCCAGCTTTGGCCCCGGCCTGGCCCTTGTCCCCAAAGGGAGCGCAAGCGTGGCTGTAGACATATTGGGGCCGGGCCAGGTTAGGACAAATGAAACAAAAGTAAAATAAAATAAGAAGGTTGAACCGGGCTGGCAGTGGCCTGGCCTAAACCCTGCTCTCAAGGCACAGTTTGTGGCCCCAATCCTACTTTTTTTTATAGCTGGGTTGACCAGGCCAGGCTATTGCCAGCCTTTTATTTTTGTGTTAGTGAATTTTTATGCCGGATATGTAAGGTAGGTATATAGAAATTCTTTTTTTAAAAAATAAAAATTCTAAAATCGGGTTTTTCCTTTTAATGCACCCATCACATTTACAAATGTGGTTTTCCACATTCCCATGGAATTGAAGAGGAACGGCCAAAATTCAAGGCCAATACCCTGAGGTCAACAGAGAATAGTAACTTGAATCAGTCATCTTTGCATATCAAATTTTCAAATCTGCCTTTTTTTTGTCCAAAATGTCGCAATTTGCATATGTCAAGAATAACACAAGGAGAAGCATTCCCTCATGATGGTACATAACTGGGGTATGCATCATCCATTTGCAGTGATGGGTAATGATTTTGGAGCTCCAAATTCATGGATTTGTAGTGATTTCGAGCGACCTCCAGGTTCCAAACCTCGTGAAAACTCGTACAGTCGCATACGTTAGTGTACGTGCCAAAAATTCTTCGGCGCATGACCATGACCATGGTGATGATGATGTTTGAAGATGGCATTTAAAAATAGTGAAAGTTCTTAGAGATTTCAAATGCGCTTAAGATTTCTCGGGTTAAGATAGATATTATTATGTTTTCTCCCCTATGGAACTTGAAAGTCAAATTCTTTCTCAAAAATTCAAGATCGACTTTCTTACCTAATCGAATAGACGCGTGCTATGGTCGTGATTATAATACCACCGCACCCCACCTAGTACTTTAAAAAAACGAACTCTTAAACTATTTGAAAAAACAGTTCTGTCTTCCTCATTGAAAAAAAGACTGGTTTTTTTGCTCAAGCTTTCATCAAGTGCAACTTAATTGGAGTTTTCTGAATTGGATCCCTTTTCAATTTCTTTATTTGAATAAATGTTAGTTATTGACGTTGTTCTCTATAGTTTCGATTGGACTTCAATGTTGCTACTCACTATTAACTAATGGACCATTTCTTTTTCTTTCCATGAATGTATTCTTCTCAAACTCTTGTAAGTACCTACCTCCTCTCTTTCCAAACATTATCCCATAGTTCTTGTCCAAAAATTTAAAAAAATTTGGATTTCTTTCTTGTCCAAAAATTTAAAAAAATTTGGATTTCTTTCGCCCAATGTGTGCAAGGAAGTGTTAAAAAATGCAGATCCGTGGGGTGGATCCCCCAACCCACGGATGTGCTGCGCTGTCTGTAAGAAGGATGTTTATGGTTTATTCTTCTTATTTGGTTAGGGAAGCTAAGATTCACTAAGGGGGTTGCCTACTTATTTACATTGTGCTTGTTGTTCGCATGGTTATTTTTTATATTAAAGGTGATTGCCTACTAGGGGTGGCAAGGGATCGGGTCTATATAGACTAGGATTAGAATATTATTCGAGTCTAAGATTTGAACCCAAACCTGATCCGCTGGGTCGAACTTTTTTACCCATACCCAGACCTGGGTCAGGTCCAATCGGGTTCGGGTCCATTGCCACCCCAACAATAATTCCGGCTCTAACATCATACCTCGACTCCGTAATGCTTAAAAATAAGGTGTCTCGTCGTCTTGCACAACTGTGCTGGTCAAAAGTCTAAACATTGACCGGGATAACCCGTTTCCACGTTAGAGCACTCCCTAACCAATCACAAAAAGAAGTTTTATAACAAAATTATTCTGTAATAATAATTAGGGAAAGATGATCGATGGTTAAATCCTTTGTACCATCATTAATGTGGTCAGAACTAAATCGTTTTTCACACGTATACCGTGTTGAATAATAGTAAAGAGATTTAGAAATGGACTCAAGACATCAATGGTTAGGATGGTGGATGTTACAACATGACCTCTTGCGTCCTGTCTTTATCTCGGGCAGGTATACTCTTTCCCCGTTGATTCAAGTAAAGCCGAACGAAAGGACAAAAATATCCATCGTTAATATCCATCGTTGTTGAAGTTATCAACATGGAACAAATGTTTATAATTAGAAAAAGTCAGTTCCACTTTGCTAATCCTAAGTAACCATGAGTATTTTCATCATTTGATAATTATGTATGTCATTTGACTTGGCACTTATGTTAGGCTAAATTACTAGGATGCCATTTAGGGTTTCAAATGTTGAACGAGAGAATTTTTGGCCATGTGTTATGGGAGGTACATGAGTTAAATGAAATTTAAAAGTAACATTATGGTGTTGACTAGCTTAATGACTATTATAAACTGATATTCTCCTTAATAATTTAAAAAACCTCATTCCGCGTTTGGGTTGTATATTTATATGTTAGGTGAGTCCTGCTCTTAATGATGGTGCTCTTAATGATGGTTAAGTAGATAACAACTTTTCGTATAAGAAAATGGTTTAGTGGGGTTGCAGCTCTATCAAAATAAGTAAAGCCCCGCTTCATAACTCATAAAAAATTTCAGTTCGAGTATTGGAAAAGCTTTACATCGATCATCTCAACTTGAACATTATGGTAATGGAAAACCTTTAAGATTTCAAGTTCTAAAAATAGTGTATATTGTAACAAATTATCTAAACCATCCATTTCGCCATAAAAATAAGTGCTCGTAGATCTATAAAATTTTTACCATTTTTTGAGTTTCAAAATTTATTTTCGGTGTTGAGAATTGATTTTTTATTGCTAAAGTGCTCTCCAAACGCAGATTTGAGGTGAGGCTTTATTTTGTTTCCATAAAGTCAATGCCTTATGGAAACCTCACCCTTTAGTACGCCATACCATACTACATGTACTATGGTTGAGTTCCAACAGCTCTTGGTCAACTAAAATGTAGTAAACTCTCCCTTATTGTACACAAAACCTCAACATGGGACCCAAACTGAGGTGAGGCTTTATTTTGTTTCCATAAAGTCAATGCCTTATGGAAACCTCACCCTTTAGTACGCCATACCATACTACATGGACTATGGTTGAGTTCCAAGAGCTCTTGGTCAACTAAAATGTAGTAAACTCTCCCTTATTGTACACAAAACCTCAACATGGGACCCAAACTCTGAAGCTTTATCAATAAGGGGCATGTACTAATGAAACTTACTTCCAACGAGAAGTTCAGTTTTCAATATGGGGAAGAGTTATGGGATACGAGGTCGTTTGGTATGGCAAATTGCCACTGTTTTTCTAAAGTTGATGTTAATTTCATGTGTTGAAGCAAGAATTCAGAGTTACAAATGGAAGGTGAAATATGAGTACAAGTCTCCGGATTGCTATGAGAAGCTGGTGATCACTATAAACGGGGAATCACCAGGACCAACCATTTTTGCAGAGCAAGGGAACACTGTGGTTGTTGAGGTGGACAACTTGTTGGTTACTGAGAACCTTGCTATTCACTGGCATGGGATTCGTCAGGTCTGATCTCTCTCTCTCTCTCTCTCTCTCTCTCTCTACAACTTTGATTCTCTCTCCCTCTCTCCCCATATCTCTAACAAACTCGGGCGAGACAACCCGGATTCGCTCGAGTAACTCGGACTCGCCTCCTGTTGAGTCCGAGTATCCTCGAGTTAAGTGGAATCTTAAAAAATTTAAAACAATTATAAAAAACAAAAAAAGTCAGAAATTCATTTGTAATATGTTTTTTTTATTGTTTCTATGAAGTATTTTACCCATGAATACTTACTTCTACATTTTTCATTATTTCTAAAATACGCCCATCACAAAATCAATATTTTGAAATCTATTTTTCTCTGCTTTTTAAACCTAATTTAGATGTGTTTTGTTTAATTTTTTTTAAGAAACATATTTGTCCTATTTTTGTGATTTTTTTTGTATTTTTTTAACACCTTTTGATTTAAAAGGCCTTGGCCCAACTCAGGCTGAGTAACTCGGACCCAGCCTCGGCAGTTACTCGGCTCGGACATCGGCCCCGCCCCATCCCTTACTCCATTTATTCACTGCTCTTAACCCAATCAAATTTATGGATTTTATTTCTCTTGGACCCCATTGATAGATTTTATCCCAACTCAACTAACTCTCTCTCCCTCTCCATTGATAGATTTTAACTCAACTCTCTCATTCTCTCTCCCCCCATGTGTGTGTAAGAAAGGCTCACGTGCACACACGTATGTGTGAGAAAAGCTCACGTGCACACACACTTATTGTTATCTTTTTATCTTGCAGATTGGGAGCCCTTGGAGTGATGGGGCTAACGGAATAACACAGTGCCCTGTACAACCTGGAGAGAAATTTGTGTACAAGTTTGTGGTCGATAAGGTCAATGCTCATTTTCCCTTTTCCAAGTCAACCTTAGTCAATATTAGTGAATTGCTAGGCCACTTTGTAATAATTCATAATTTCTGGAATTCAAGAGCTTTTTTTTATATGTTTTCTAGTTTATCTTGCTTCTTGAGAAATAAAAATCTTGGCTGGTTTCTCATTTATTAGGAGAACAGTTAAAGAGCAATACGAATCATAGTTATTGGGAGCGGGAGCGTTAGAGCAACGTCTACCCAAAGCTCTGGAGCTCGAGGAGCGAGTTCCGATGAAGGTAAAAGTAGTGGATCGAGATCCCGTATGAATAAGGAGTGCGTTCCCAATACATCAGGATCGAGATCCCTATTTAATGGAAACGTTTTCCATGTCAAATGGGATCGTGCTCCCATTGATAACAGGATTGTGCCCCCATCTAAGAATGACCGCGTTCTTATTTGAAAAAGATCGAGTTCCATTTAAGGAAGACCGCGTTCTGTGCATGATTAGTCCATGCTCACTCGCATAACTCCACTTTTATAAAAATTTGGCTTAAAATATAATTATTTTATTTTAAAAATTAATTTTATTTAAGAAGTTTCTTTTAGGATGTTTTGGAAAAATAGGGATGGAGTTCTGGAAATGTAGGGATCGCGCTCCTAAAACTCTAGGAGCATGGATTTAATTTATTCAGGAACGTGTTCCGTACAGTATCAGAAGCGAGCTTTGTTGTGAACAGGATCGAGAATTCAAAAAATAGGAGCCAGCTCCCAAAAAGTAGGGAACGAGTTCCGATCGAGATCCTGGCTGCAGAGCGGCGGAGCTAGGTCCCTAAGCGGGAGGGCCACCCTAGTTGGGCGCTCCCGATAACTATGACATGAATCTCTGAAACACCTACATCAATTCTCTAAGTATTTCAAGAATTTGGAATTAGGGGTGGTAATGGGCTAGGCAGCAGGCCTAGCTCTAAAAACTAGGGTATGGTCCATAAAATATGGCCTGAGGGTCAGCCCAAGGGCTAGGCGGTCATGTCCCAAGGGGAAGGCAGTGGGGCAAGGAGGGTTGGGCTGGTCCAAGGCCAAGGCTGGCTTCGTTTGACCTGGCCCAACCCTTTTTTTTCCTTTGTTTTTTCTCCTTTATTTTTTCTACCGGTTAGGCCCAAGCCAAGCCTAAGCCTGCCCTATAAGGACTTGGCCTGGGGTAGCCCTGCCCAATCCCAGCTCATTGCCACCCCTAATTCGGATCTTCAAAAAGGGCCTGGATCCTCATTTCTGTTGAATGAAAATTTCTCCATACTTGGTTTTTCCAAAAATATATTGAACATGCCAGGGTATTTTAGTAAAACGAATTTGAATGGGTTAAGAAGAAATAACCATTCAGAAAACTTCGACCGGTCAAAAGAACGTATTGAAATTCCAAGTTTTGATCACCCGCACGATTTATGAAGGAGCTCTGGATAAGTTCTCTACTTTCCCTAATTCTTCACGTTTTCAATTTTGCAGCAAATCACCACTTACCATGTAAATTCCATTGAATTTTTATCATAATCTCATAAGCTTCCCCAATAATCATCCTGAATATATAGATTATTTATTGGAATGTATATTACATACGTTACAGTGTTCTTGTAAATCAAAATTGGGTCAAGAAAATTTGAAAAATCAAATAGCCAAGTGGATTTTTCACCTAAAATTAACAGTCTAGTAATTTGGTCGAACTCGGACAAGTCCAAGCCGGTTGATTTTGGAACCACTTAACCGTAGCACCAACAAAAGGTCGCCTACACGTCATGTATGATATGTATTCACAGGCAGGCCATGAAGATGCTATGTATGTGTACGGCATGGTAGAAGGCATACATGATATATTTTATATTGAAGTCTTTTGTAGTCAATGACGTGTTCGTTGGGATCTACCGAAGAAAGGTGCTATATGCAATTGGCATCAGCGATGCGAAGCATCTCCCGTTAAATTATTATTTTTTACAACATAAGCTTTTATGTATGGGTTGGGGTTTCTATGAGCTTGCAACCATAAACAATCCAATTAATGCGCACCTTCAAATTTTATCATAATATATAATTTTGGTAGAAATATTTTTTAAGATTATATTAAAATCTATTTTTATCTCTAATTATAAAATTTTAGACGGCAAAAATAGTTTAAATCTAGTAGATCTATAATCATATGAAAATCTAGAAATGGACGGTCTAGATAATGTGTTACAAAATGCATTTTTTATGATATTTAAAATCTTTTTTTTTTCCCATATTCATATATCTCGATATCGAGATGATCAATTAGAGGGTTTTTCAACATTAAAACAACATTTTTCGATAGATTTTTAAAGTGTATCTGTTAAAGTTGTAACCTTATATAAACTTTTTCCTTTATTTAAGGCTTCAAATCTTTTTTCTTGAGAACTATACAACTATCATCAACTAGTGGATTGTCCAACATCGGAATACGATCTTCTAGAGTATTTTGAGGCGCAGCTTACTTCAATAGTATAAGGTCCACACCTGATATAAACTCTTTTTTTTCTTGCGCGCACGCACACATATATAAATATATTGGCATATCATATTTCTTTCTCTTGTGTGAATTTAGCTAATAATAACCCTAAAACCTCCCCTCCTCTCTCTCTCTCTCTCTCTCTTTCTTTCTGATAATTTAAATGTTTTGGTATACCATTCGTCTTTCTCTTGTGTTAATTTATCTAAGTATCATTCACTCACTCTCTCTAACTTGAAAATGCAATGGCTTGAGGCAGGCAGGAACATACATATATCATGCACATTATGGGTTGCAGAGGTCGTCAGGTCTATACGGTTCTATTCATGTAATCCCTTCTGATGGAGTCAAAGAGCCATTTTCTTATGATAGGGAACACACCCTCCTTATCAACGATTGGTGGCACAAGAGCTCTGCTGAGCAAACCGCTGGCCTCTCTTCAATCCCTTTTCGATGGGTCAATGAACCACAAGTATACAACCTTTTCTTTTCACACATTTTGTCACCATAAATTAGCTTTGTTTTTTCAAGAAGCATAGAGTAAGGTCATATCATACACCATAGTTCTATGGTGTATGGTGCAGTATTGAATATTTGCCATTCATTTTTTATAACAGATGATGGAGATTAGCCAGAGTTTCATATGATGGTCGTACAATCGATCTCCACCATATGTCGTTTAGAGTGGATGATGGATGTTTACAATTCGAATTTTTCTTCATTTTAACTAAAACTTGAAAAAAACGTTTAACTGCAGTCTCTATTGATCCAAGGGAGAGGTGCATATAATTGTTCTTTAGTGAACAACCAATTGAATTCACTGGGAACGGGGAGTATATGCAACACCACAAATCCTGAATGCTCACCCCATGTGATTCCGGTGGTTTTTGGCAAGACTTATCGCTTGAGGATAGCAAGCGTCACTTCATTGTCTGCCATCAACTTCATGATTGAGGTAAGCACCGGTATGACCTAGTTTAATTACTTTTTGGGAAATTTAAACGCCTAACTTATAAACTATATAACATTTTACCTTCTTTCAATTACTCCAAGTGCTCTTGGAGGGCTTTTTGAATAAAATCAAAAAAATGTTAAATGATTAAATAATTCATGTGTTAGATACATTTTGAAAATTTTCCTCAATTTTTTTTATTTATGATTCTACCAACATGTTAGTATTGAGTTGGTGATCTAAAACGAGGTACTTGTGCAACATCTAGCTTACCTAAGATCATTAAAAGAAAATAAAGATTCCTTCAAACTATCAATAAATTTTCATTATATGGGAAAACAACTTAAATCACAGACCATATGAGAGCTATTGTTATGTGCAGCTATGTCTTGAATTACATGGTGTAAACTAACAGACGCTCCCTTTGAATTTTGGCTAGAAAATCCTCAATAACCCATAACCTGAACCATTAGGGACCATATCAGCTTAGTGAACCCTAGTGCACGATAGCCTGTAGTTCATACTCCCTAGAAAATGATTAGGAGAAACCTGAAAGCACTAGGCTTATTCCAATCTGTCAAGACCAATATTAATTTATTCAGACTTACCCAAATCAACCCAAATTTATATAAATTTATCCAAAACAGCATGATAAGGCTCCGGAAAACTGAAAAACCTGGATCACTCCACCGTTGGGCCTCATGGAGACTTTCTACACTATGTGGTGGTGGCTACAGTTTAGAGACGTGGAGCGCATCGTTGACCTCTATGAGCTCAGTGATGCGAATCACGTCGCTGAAGCCTACGGAGTCCAAATTTTTTAGAAAGCCGGGTCCTATCTCTGTGAGGACTTTTGGTTATGGTTTGATTTTGGATCACATCTAGCATAATTGTAGATGGCCCATAACTTTAGAAGCCTATAGAAAACCCTACGAGCTCTAGAATTCAGATCTCCCTATCCCTCTTCGCCTTTAAACCCAAAAAACCCTAGGACATTAAACCTAATTCCTTACAATCCCAGCAGCCATAAAACCCTAAAACGAAAAAGCCTTAGAAAAAAATACCCTAAAACCCTAAAACCAAAAAGCCTCAGGAAAAAAATCTTCGGGAAAAAGCCTTAGGAAAAACATACCCTAAAACCAAAAAGCCTTAGAATACCCTAAAACCTTAAAAAATACCCTAAAGCCTTAGAAAAACAACCCTAAAAAATACCCTAAAACCAAAAAGCCTTAGAAAAAAATCCTTAGGAAGAATATACCCCGTGTAAAAACCCTTTCAAACTTACAGAAAGCTTCTCATATATCAACCAAATCTCTATAGGGTTGAGGACGAAGATGCTCGCCAGTGATAGTCTAATCCAGGCCACCAACTCTTGGCACCAGACCTAGGGAACCCGCTCTGAAGTAAATAGTTGTTTCCTTTCTTTTTTAGTTCAAGTGTATTTTCTTTTCTTCCTATTAGTTTCGAGTTCTCTTGGTTTTTTTTCTTGGTTTTTACGCAATCTCAAGCTAGCCATGCCAATGGTGTATGAGAGGTTCCGTTTCTACATACTCTTCTCACACATTGTAATAATTCAACAGACCCCGCTCTTTTCTACCTGGTTTTAATTGTTTAGTTTAAAGGATACATCAGGAAGAATTTCATCTGAGATCTTTCGAATATGGCTGTAAACATATCTATTCTATGTTGTTCTTGGGCTCTCTTGCTATGCAGCCCTTAATGGCAAGACCGAGGTCTACTGTGGGAGTATTTTTGGTGGACATGTTTAGGGGTTAAGTTGGGGTTTGAGATAGTATTAAAAGGTTTCTCATGTGCTTTTCGCTCTTTAATTTAAATTTGTTATGTGAGAACTGTACTATACCTTCGTGGTTACAGGAATCAAGCTATTGATCGTCTTTGTCTGTAGATGTAGTCACATCAGTGACAAACTATATAAATATGAGTGGTCCTCTATGTTTATTTATTTTCATTTTTGTTTGCTTTGTATTGTGTTTGGTATTGTTTTCTCTTATTTTTCACTTATCATCATCCCATCCGCTAGGGGACTTTGAACAACAATTTTTAACTTGGTACTTTGGCATGATCTTTACAGGGCCATAACATGACCATAGTAGAAGCTGATGGAAACTATGTCGAACCAGTTGTGGTCCAAAACCTCAATCTATACTCCGGCGAGACCTACTCTGTCATCGTTAAAGCTGATAACGATCCTTCACGAAATTATTGGGCAGCTGTAAATATTCTCGGCCGAATGCCAAAGACACCAACCGGAACTGCGGTCTTTAACTACTATCCAAACCACCCCAAGAAGCCTCCACTTACAACCCCACCAAATGGTCCATTATGGAATGATACCAATTATGCCCTGGCTCAAAGCCAATCCCTTAAGGCTCTCAAAGGCTTCAATCCTGGACCACCCTTCAGTTCTGATAGAGCCATAAACATGTTCTTCACACAAAACAAAATTGAAGGCTTCAGCAGGTGGTCTATAAATAACTTCTCATTTGTTCTCCCTAGCACCCCATATCTAATTGCCCTTAAGCAAAACCTACCCCACACTTTTGACCCTACCCCACCTCCTGAAAAATATGATCTTCAAAATTATGATATCCATCTTCCACCTAAAAACCCAAATGCTTCCTACAGTGATTCTATCTATAGGCTAGATTTCAATTCTACCATAGATATAATATTGCAAAATACAAATATGTTGGATCCAAACAAGAGTGAGACACACCCTTGGCACCTACATGGGCACCATTTCTGGGTTTTAGGTCATGGAATTGGGGTTTTTGACCCAGTTAATGACCCTAAGAAGTATAATTTGGTGAATCCTGTTGTGAAGAATACAGTTCCTGCATTTCCTTATGGGTGGACCGTGATCCGGTTTAGGGCTGATAATCCTGGGATATGGGCCTTTCATTGTCATGTTGAGGCCCATTATTATTTAGGCATGGGGGTGGTGTTTGAGGAAGGGATTGAAAGGGTTGCTCGTCTTCCTAAATCTATTATGGGCTGTGGGAAATCAAAAAGACTTGCGAGACCTTAAAGGTGCTAAATGGATTACTGTGAATCAGTAGGAGTGTAAATACTTTTGTGGTCATGTTAGGAACGTAACTCTGGACATCACGTTGTGAAGCTCCTTCGCCAGCACTCTAGAGATTAATCATGAGCTTAAAGACTTTGTTGTGTATGCTTGCCCGCCGAATAACTATCTATCGGCATTATTATGAAGTTCATTATATATTTGGTTATGTTGAAGTTAGCATAAGGCCTAGGCTTTAAAATTAAAGGTGAAGCCACACTTGAAAGGCCTGCTGGAAATGTATTTTCAACATTGCAAACCCCTTTTCTTTTTGGGTAGATAACATTGGAAACCGCCTGAAAATCTGTTCTTATTTCTAATTATGAATTTTGAAGCTCCAGAAGTAATACAAATTTGGCGATTCTATACGAATTTAAAAATGGAGAATGCAAAGAATGTATTACACAAATATATTATTTTAGAGTTTAAATTCAATTTTTTTCTTTCAGACTCATAATTGCTAAGGTCAAGATAATCAATTTTTGGTTTTTAGTTGCGAAAACTGCATTCTCGGATAGGGTTTTAAGGTAAGACTTTTACCTTTTTTTCCATAGAGTGAGGCTTATGTATTATTTTTGTTGTTTTGTTTCTTCATGTGTTTTTGAAAGAAAAGTGTCCCATGCATCAGGGGATGCACGTCCACATAGACGTCCCCTGGGTGGACGTGCGTTCCCTTATGCATCTACTATCTATCTCAAAGATGGATGGTTGGCAATGGTGGAGCCCCCCAAGACTAAAATACAGAGTCTTAAATTAACCTTAGAAAATACCTTTAAAATTTAATTTTCTCTTTATATTCACAAGTCACCAAGGTGGAGATTATGACCCCTAAATTCTTAGATTCCGAGTCCATCTCCAAGATGAACTTCAAAGAGAAGACTCATTTAAATAGTTGAGTCAGGGAGTCATAAGAACCTTGTCCTTTTTTAATTGCCAATATCCATTTGAAAACTGAATCCTTTTGTGTGCTCATGAAATTTGGCATATTTAGGGCATTAAAGCAAAGAGGCTACCAAGTTCAATTCAGGCGTTATTAAATATTATTCACGAATTCCTTCAGAATCTTATCCTTCTATTATACACCCAAAACTACATGCACTTCAAGGATCCTTACAAACAGAATTTTATTACAAACAGAATTCATTTTCCCAAACTGATGTAAAATTGTAAAAAATTTGATACTATGGATTCATCATTTCCCTGGAATGAAAAATAATCTATCTTTCCATGACATCTTACTTGAACCAAATTATTTTTGAAAATCTGAAAGAAAATAAAGAAGCATGATTTCTCACCCAAAAAACAAAGGATTGGTTTTATACGTATACATATGGCCCCATTTTCATGGCTGAATAACTCCATGAGGGGGCAAACAGTTGTTTATAAATGGAGGAAGAACATGTATTCTTTATTGATGGTCTAGAACTACTTTGGTGGTGTTTTGTTGTCAAAGAGGGTTAGAAAGGATGGCACCCATGCATAAATAGTGAGGTGACCAAGTTAGGCCCTTTCTTTTAATTGTACTTGTACCTCTATTATACATTTTGATATTAGATATGGACATCATGCATTAAAGATATATTCATGCAGGCGAACAAAAAACTATTGTCACATTTATTACTACAATTTCTTACTCCATTAATCTTACAAGATAGAGAGATTAAGCAAAAAATAAATAAATACACACGTTAGTTAACCATGGCTTGATGCTTGTATAATTTAATAAATTGGTCCAACTTATAATCTAAACCGTACATTTTTTTAAAACATAATATAGATTGAATGGTTTTTTTAAAAAAACTATCTTAATTTGATGGGCGTCATATCAAATCATCTATATTGCAATAGAATGGTTAAAAGTAGGTATTACTCTTGTTTTTGGGAAACGACACGGTTAGCATGCTGCCCGCCTGCATGTTGTAGAAATGCGGGCTTGGTAATAAATATATTTTTTAGATATAATTTGAGCCTAATTTTTGGAGAATATATAATCTTTAACTTGGAGATCATGAATATGAAAAATAAATAAATTTTGAAAACTAGAAATAATAATTATATTCAAAAAACATTTGGACCGTTAGCTACAATTGTTTTTAGATGGACCACCTATTTGCATCCATCCTAAGACTGCATATTGTAGAAATACGGTCCAGCCCGCATGAAACAATTGTTCTTTAGGAAATAGTTGACCAATGGGTTACCAACCATAAGAAACTAAGTACACAGAAACTTTAGATGTGAAATTCTTGCATAGGGAAATGAAAAATTGTTTTACATATGCAAACTGTTGCGCATGAACCAAACGAATCATAAACACGTGATATCTTGGTAAAAATTTAAGGATGGCAACATGCCGACCCTGGATCAGGCCAGCCCTTGGCCCTTGTCCCCATAGGGTCAGGTAAAATAAAGAAAAAACAAAAGAAGAAAAATATAGGGCTAGGGCAAATGCAATGAAGAAAAAAAGAATGAGAAAAAAAATAGGGCCGAACCTGGGCGAACTAGGGCCACTGCCGCCCCTAAGGTACTCATACATATGAGTATTTCTTAATGTACTCAACATTTTATAATACTCATTGTCTCTTATTGTATAATACAAAATGTTTTTTGAATAAAGGCGTTTTTCATCATTAAGAGGGATATGATAGATATTTCTACAAGAAACTAATATTCATTTCACTAGTGGTTGAGACGCAATGATTGCTCTATGTAGTTGATGTCACATTTCTGTGGATGATTATCATTCATTATGGTTAATAAATGTTTTTCTTTCTAGCAAGAATTTTTACTTTATTTTTAATTAATTACCTAAAATACTCTTAGATAAAAAATTTATTACACGGTGGGTAAAGGTACGAAGTGTTTAAAAATGTTAAGAGTACCTTAAAGAAATACTTATGAGTACCCTAACATAACTTTATTAATAACTATTATTATTTGAGTTTCATGTTTAATTAAATAGCTTAAAAAAAACAGGTGTGGTTTGTATAGAGCTGAGGCTCTAAACTATCAAAGTAAAGCGCACCTTAAAATAGTGTCGAGAAACGTAGTTTCCATATTGGAAATCTTTGTGATAGCCTTAAAATATATTTTCATCTTTAATTATAAAATTTAAAGCTTTAAAAATAGGGTAGATCAAACAGATCTATGAAAACTTGAAAAACTTAAAAATCGACGGTCTAAAAATACATTACAAGATGCACTATTTCCAAAACTTAATACATTTTTTTTCTCATGTCCAAGAATCTGGATAACGAGATGATGTGTTTGAGGATATTTGAGCATAAAAACAATCTCTTCTATTGAAATTTTTGAGGTGGGTTTTAATTTGATTATTTAGAGCCTTGGTTCTATATAAACTATTTCCAAGGGGGCGATTTGTATAGAGACGATGCTCTAAACAATCAAAGTAAAGAGCACCTTCAAATAGTATCGCAAAAATGAGGTTTCACGCTGGAAATCTTTGTGGTAACCTTAAAAATATAATTTTTCCACACCAAAAAATTCTTGTGGTGTTCAAATTTTCTCACATTATACGCCAATAACCAAATACTCGAAGGGTGTGTTTTATAGCGGAAAAAATCGACTTGCCCATGTAGTGTAATTTTCACCTACAACCAAAGGGTGTGTTTGATAATGGAGAAAATCAACTTTGCACCTGTTGGAGAATCGTAAAGCCGAGAAAAATCGGAACTTATGTTTTCCCCATTCCATTATGCCATCGAGTAGGGTTGACAATGGACTTAGACCCGACCCGGTACCGCCCGGGCATACCTGATATGGGTACGAATGTGGGTCAAACATTTCGACCGAACATTTGGGTCCAGGTCAAAACTTAGACTCAAACACTATTCAGGTGTGGATCCGATTGGAGATAAAATACTTCAACCCTATTTATTTGGGGCCAGACAAGATCGACCGGACACCCAATGGGTACAAATATGGGTCCAACTTTTGGACGGGTTCAGAACCTGAACCCGAAGACTATTCGGGTCAAGGGTCCGGGTCCAGGCGAACCTTGCCACCCCTACCATTGAGTAAGCTGGCGCGCCACAGGCACCGCATGCTGCCATTTTCATAAAATTGGAAGTCAAGCGAGCCTCAACTTAAAAACCCTTCCATTTGCGTTCAAACCCAATCTCAACTTGCCATTGCGGCTCGGCCCACAGAGACACATCCCTGCAACTTCTCACCTCGCCCAAAGTTCACTCTCTCCTTGTCGCTCTCCCATCCAGGGACCCTACTCACTCTCTGGACGAGCATAGCAGGTACGCTCCCTCTCTCTCTCTCACTTGGTCTTGGTGACTTTGTGTCTCTCTCTACAATTTCTGAGACTGGATTTTCTCAGCCTCATTTTGTGTTCTCTAGATATTATTGCATCTTCAGATGGGTTTGAGTCTCTCTCTAGAACTTTGAGATGATTTTGGTCTATCACTCGACATTGTGGTTGGAGGTTTCATTGATCTCTCTAGAAGTTTAACAGGGTTTTTCTGTTACTGTTAAAGAGATTATACGGAATATCAATGCCCAACTTTAACAGGGTCAAGTTGGTTTATTCTACTCATTTAACTGAAGAATCATTCACAGGTTTCTTGTCTAGTTTCTTATTTTTTCTTCAATTTTTCTGCAGTTTTGCTCGTTTTACCATGAATGGCATGTTTTTTTTGAAGTAAGGTAACTGTTGTATTGAATGGCATGCTGTTCATCCATGAATGGCATGAATGGTCTTGTTCATATTGGTTTTTTTTTTTTTGCTCTGTGTTGTGAGGTGCGATCCCTTTTTGCCTCTTTCGAGGTGTTGTTCATTTGCCTCTTTTGAGGTGCCATTCTTTTCTTAATGTGTTTATGATGTGGAATTCGATCGTGTTTTGGTGTGATCTGATTCTGATTTTTCATGATCTGCTAGTAGTTGGCAACCTCGTAGATTTTTATTCATCTGTTCATTGTTTGATTGCTTTGCTATTTCTGTAATTTTTCACATCTTAGGATTCTTTCATGAATATTTTATTCAGTTTACCCATTATTTATTCATTATTATTGTTCATGGTTTCTTATGCACTTTTTTTTAAAAATTTCTGCCATGGATAAGTTGATCAGTGAATTATTTTGTTCCATAATTTTTGTTGCGAATTATTGCTTTTGTAAGGTAAAATTGCTAGGGGTGGACCCTGTGGTTCGATTGAAATTTGTTCTCCTTTCATTTGGTTTTTTGGGAGAAATTATTGTCTTAATTTCATTCTTTGGGTTAGAGTTGGTGTTTCGCTTCCAGTTGTCTATATGCCTTGCCTGTTTTTTGGGATTTAAATGTTCAATGAACATTGCATGATATAAGAACAAACTTCAATCTCAACCATTACATTTGATAGGATATGCATTTCTGAAAATTTTGGCCTAAAAGTATTTGAAGGATCCATAATTGATTTGAATGGATGTTTTCATGCAAGTATTTTCATGGAAGGATCCATAATGGATTACATGGAATTGTACTAATTGTACTTATCTTTTCTGGTGTACTCGTGTGGTTGAAATTTGATTTTGTTATTGAGGGTTTTTCTCTCTTAAGTTACATAGTTATGAGATTAAATTTCAATCTTAACCATATATCGTAAGAAATGCACTAGATGGGTTGTAGCAAGAAAATCTTATTAAAAATATACATTTTGCGCATCAAATCAATGAAATACATAATGAACAGTTAAAACAGGTTGTTTCCTGCTTTCCCACGCTACCAAATAGGTGAAAATAGCAGCACCACAGTTTATCAAACATGGTTCCTAGCTTCCAGGCTACGAACTTTCACTTTCTTCCTAGATTCTAGGAAAGTTAGTAGCAGAGAGAATTCTAGGGAAACTGCAAAGAAAGCTATCAAATGCACCCAAATAGAACCCTAGTCCTCTCTCTCTCTCTCACAGGAGGAGGAGTGGCAGAAAAAAAACCTTCATGTCTGCTGTGTACAATCTCTGGCTGAAGAAAGAAAGAGGTATTTTTACTCCCAGGTACAACCCCTCTCTGTATCTCTCTATCAAATGTGCAGGATTGGCTATTTTGGCCTGAGCTATTCATGAAAGAGTTGGGTCTCTTTCCAGTGGTTGGAAAATGTTCTGGAGCTGAGAATAAGAGGTAAAATTGGTGGTTCACATTGGCTCCAGTTTCTCTGAGAGAGAGAGAGAGCATAAAAAATTCTCAATTTTATGGTAATGCAGTATGATTTTGATCTTTTTCTCCCTTTCTTTATGGAAAATCTGTTGTTATTATGTTATAATGACTGATATGATTTAGATATCGTTTATGCATCATGATCTACTAAATGAATACTTATGAAAGATGTTTTGATATTTCATTGGTGTTTTGTTCATAACATAGGTGAAAATATAGCTATGCTATTCTTTTTTTTTAAAAAAAGATTAGTAATACTTCAATATGTCTACCAATGAACAATGGCATCACTATTTTTGTTTCTCTTGAATTTGTTAAATATAGCCAGACATGAAACAGTGTCAAACTTACACATATTGTGATAAGATACACTAAGTAATTACGGAAAACCAGCAGCACCTTCACCTCAGATATCAAATTTTGTGATATTCTTTACTTATTTTTGTCAAACAGACCATTGGTGTTCGAGTATTTATTTTAGCCAAAAAAATATTGAAATTCTTATAGGAACCATACATAAATGCATCTTCATATTATTCTTTGAGTCAGAGATTACATTTAATAATGAATATTCTACTGGTAAAATATCCTGTGCATTTTTTTTTTTATAATCTTATAATCTTTGAATGGGTCTGAAATTGTTATTCTTATCTGTTTTTTATTGTGATTTTGTGTTTGTTATTTCTTTCTATTATTCTTATTTGCTGTTTGGAGAAGAATGTATCTTTTGTATCAGTATATTTATGTGGAGAATTTATTGTAAACGGGAAAGAGCATTTTCTCTTTTAGCATCAAAGTTGTGAATTTTTTACTTTCATTGTAAATTTCTTAGCAATTCTAATTTTCATATTTATTTTTGTTTTGATCATTTACTTTTCTATGCATTATAACACTTGTTGTTAAGGGAAAATCCCATATTTTCCTGTTTGAAAACTTCTCTATATTGTGAATAACGAACTTATATTCTGTGAGTTTTGTTTCACTTTAGAGGCTTATTACCATATCAACAATTTTGTTCCTCACAGTTCTAAACATACCTATTTTGTGGAATCTAGGATTTTGTCCATCTAGGCTTTCCTTGCGTTAACTATGTAGTAAAATTCATAATTCATCTATGTGTCTATTTTAAGTGGAGTTTTTTTTTGACCACAACAATGCTATTGCACTTACATTCTAATTTTTTCCTGTATGAGTAATTTCATTGTCATTTATTAGGTTGTAGGGTTTGAAGGCAATTGATAATGCGTTATATACATTGTGGTCGCAATCTTCTGAATCAACTCATCAGGGATCAGAAAGTCCAGAATGCTGGACAGGAAATTCTCCCCTCTTTTTTTGTTGGGCAAGGAGTTAGATACCGCAAGTTGGAAGTTATTCTAACCACAGTGAGTTTGTAAAAATCATTTTTTTTTCTTTTATGAATGATAAACTGTGCTATTGTAATCATCTCATCTTTGGTTTCTAAAGAGTTTGCTGTTATGGATATTTACAGACAATTGACAAACTAGGCAAAGCAGGTGAAACTGTGAAGGTCGCTCCTGGATATTTTCGCAACCATTTGATGCCCAAGTTACTTGCTGTTCCAAATATTGAAAAGTATGCCTACCTCATCAGGGAACAGCGCAAGGTTTGTTTTTTTTGTTTCTTTTTTTCTTTTTTAAGTTATCTCTGATGTAGTATGGGGAACACTACTTTATGACTTTTTCTCTTATCTAGGAGTTGTATAGTTCTCTACCTTCTCATATGGCATGTTGTGGTAATATGAAGCTCTATCAAAATTGATCTTTTGCATAATATCCTTCAGAATATCTTTTAATCTTTTAGTTTTCTTTTTTTTGATACTGTTTACATTTTTTTTTTCACACTCTGGCCATGTGGCATTGTATCATCTTCCAAATTGTTGTGCGTGTCTTCATTGTGTCAATGGAACCGGATGTACAACCTATAGAACAGATCCTGTTCAATTAAGGTTGTAAAAAGAAAAGCACTCTTTGTAATATTTATAGAACTATTTCTGATGCACATGTGTTTATGCCTTTCATTAGAAATCAAATTTTATATGATCATTCTAGGTTTTATAGGATCCTTTGTATTATGTTTTTCTTGCAAACTAACTCATGCCTCTTTATGAGAAATGATGAAGGAAAAGGTGATGAACCATTCATGCAATGAGACTTCCTTTAATTCTCTTGGGATATCTGATACTCTTGATTGGCCAAGAAACAAATCCATCCATTTGCTAGCCAGTTAATGAACAGAATGGTGTACAATGGCTAGAAGATATCAGTAACTACTCTTAAAAAATCTTCATTTCCCAATATATCCTACTGCAGAAACTGCCCTCTTCACTTCTTATGATGCACAGATACGGCTACAATAATTCTTTCGTGATATTATATGAGAATGTCAAGTGTCTGACATGGTTACATTTCCCATTTTCAAGTATCTGTGCATCATAGTCACTCCCCTCCCAAATTAAATTTCTTAAAGGAACTTAATATTATCTTGGGTGATTGCTATATATGAACCTATCTTGATATCTACACGATAAAATTTTCTCCAATTAAATGAATAATCTATGTAGGTTCCCTTGTAGTCTAATTGACTTCCCAACTTTGTCCTGTCTGATCTCCATCTTCCATTCTACGGGTGGGTTTCAATCGGCGCAAGTGAGTAGATAACCATAAGCTCTGCTAATTTTATCCCCTTCTTGAGGTACATACTAATTGTTCCAGTTGCCATGTGGCCTGCCTACCTGTCATGGCCTCAGCTCCATTTATATCAATTAGTTGTTACTTTGATGGTTATTGAACATTTTCTCTCAAGTCATTTTGAATCAATCCCAGGCATAGGGATCAGTCTGTGTGTGTGTTTGTGCGTGGAGAGAATTGGCTTTTGTGTGCATCTTTACCATATGCTCATATAATAGCCAAAAGTCCACTATATATCCTTTGGGATCTCTTACATTTGCGAGGGTTAATTGAGAACCACTTCTAGCATGAGCGTCTTCAGTTCCCAAGCTTTTGTTTGATATACATGGCTTTAGAGGAAATTGATCATCATTTTTCATTCATTTCAACTTTGCATAGAGGATATGGGGATTTCTATAGGGACCCGAGCACTAGTTTCTTCCACAAAATCGCAAATTGTAGGAGGCGTGACAATACTGTTACCCAAATTATTTTTGGGGTCATGCCTGTACAACCAGCAACTAGAAGATGAACGTGAAGTCCTAGGGTTCTTCCATAACTTATTCCAGGCTTTCTCTGGCCCCCATAACTTATTCCGGGCTTTCTCTGGACCTGGGCCCTGTATGGTGGATCTTTGTTTCTTAACCATCCCAAGCCACAAAGTTGCTCGGTTGGAAAGACCTTTCTCGAAAGAAGAAATCATTCGGGCTATCAAAGACCTTGGTTAGGATAGGGCTCTGGGCCCTGATGGTTACTGGTGGAGCTATTCAACATCTTTTGGGATGCCCTTTCTAGAAGGTCACCATAGAGGAATCATCCACAAGGCCATCAATGCTACTTTCACTTGCCTGGTCCCAAAAATTGTAGGTGCGGAGGATCAAAAAAACTTTAGCCCTATTGGCCTACTAATAGTTGTTACAAGATTCTTGCAAAGGTTCTGACTCACACCTTAAAGAGATCTTAAGTTGGGTCATCTCTCGACCTTGGGAGCTTTCGTCAAGGTTCAGCTGATCCTCAATGGTGCTTTAGTAGCCCTTGAATGCGTACGCTCCAGGCGCCTCTCAAGTATCTCAAGGGTGGTCATCAAACTTGACTGGAAGAAGGCTTATGACCATATTTATTGGTCCCTAGATGAGACCCTCCTCAAATGGGTTTCAGACCTTTTGGTGAAAACATCTCAAACCCTTTCTTCTCTATCCTTATTAATGGTTCCCCTTGTGGCAACTTCTCTTCCTCCAGGGGCCTTTGCCAGGGAGACCCTCTCTCACCTTCTCTCTTTGCAATAGTGGCAGAAATCTTCAGTAGGTCCATAGAGAGATTGCATCAACACCGACTGTGGAGTGGATTTGCCATCGGTAATTAGGGCCCTGTTATTTTTCATTTCCAATACCCGGACGATACCCTCATCTTCTTCGATGCAACCCCGCAGCAAGTGGGCCGCCTTTTCCTCTTACTGATGAGGTCACTACTCGTCTCAAGGTTAACATGGCGAAATCTAAAATGATGGGGGTTGTTGTTGAGGTAAGGGTGGTTCGTGATCTGGCCAACCGACTCAGATGTGGGAATGGAACAACTTCTATCTATCTATTGATCTTGGTTTACCCTTGTATTGGTAATCTGAAGAAGTGCATGTGGGATCCTGTCATTGGGAAATTTGATTGTAAACTTGCTGCCTGAAAGGGCAGATTCCTCTCAAGTGCGGAAAAACACCCACATCAAGGCCACCCTTTCAAAAGTCCCATTTTATCATGTCTTTGTTTCAGTGTTTCAAAAAGCAGACCGCCTAGAGCCTTGGCGGCTGCAAAGGCTGTTCTGGGGCCCTAGGCGCCCAAAAAAAGCGGATATCCTTGGGCAACAGCTTAGGGCCTGTGCCCCTCTTAGGGGCCGAAATGCCCCTTGTTGAGGGTATTTTTGGGTCATTTTTTTAATGCTAAAGGTGTAAAATTGTGGGTTTTAAGTTAATTTGAACCTAAAACCCATTAGAGCCTATTTTAGGGAGAGAAAAACGAATTTTTTTCTTTTTCTAATATTAGGACAGAGTATTCATTACTTGGTCCGACATTATTCTACCTCAATCATGGGCATCACAAAATGCAAACCAGCCCAGGGAAGTACCTGTAAATAATATTCCCAATCAAATAGTAAAACACCAGGATGGAAATATTGAAATAAAATTTCAACAGCCTATAGTACAGGATGATATAGATATTAACAGGAAAAGAAATAAAAAACCATTAGTACCTGCGAGAAAATCTTGTCATACCACTCCCGATGTTATCATACTTCCTTCTCCATCAATACCTACAACATCTTCAGATTTTCAATTACAAGGAGTCAAACGAACAGCTGATCATGTAGTCATTCCCACATATACATCTGAACCTGACATAGCTGAATTTCAAATATTTACATTACAATTGGAAGATGATATAAATATGGATGAATATATGAAAGAGTATTTAGCTGCCAAATTAGCAAGAAAAAAGAGAAAAATAGATATTGCCTATATACAACGAGATTATCTTGCTCCATAAAATAAAGGCATTAGAGTATGGCATCTTAAAACATTCCAACCTAGGTTAGTAGAATTATTCCATAAAAAATATAATAAATTTTTAAAAAAGGAAAGAGAAACAAAAGGATTTTTTATATGGTTACAAGAAATATGTACTCAATATAAAATTAACATTCCTCAATTTAATACTATTCAAACAATAGAAGAGAAAACATACATCAGTACGGATGGTACTACTACTGCTAGTACACACCCTCCGGAGAAAAGTATAATACTAAAGGGTGTAATAACCCCATTAAGCAAAGGAGAACCACCACAATCCCTATATGATATTATTGCAACACCATATAAAGTTCTATCAAAAGAAATAGGTAAAAAACAAGAGCTAATACCTCATATAGTAGAACAAAACAATTATACCAATTTATATATGCAATCTTTAGGAAAACAAGCAGAGCGTATAGAAAGATTAGTTACTCCCCAAACTAAGGGAATAACTCCTTCTATTCCTAAAGCGGTTTTGTTCAAACCTCCTCCAGAAGTTAATAAAACTAAATGTCATATCGGAGAAGATAATAAAACATTAATGGACCAGTTAATTTCTAAATTAGCCCAATTAGATATAAAAGGAATTCCTTCTCCCAAACTTAGTATTCCTATACCAATACCCAGTATTTCTGTACCTTTACCTACTATCCCAGAATCTTCAGATTGAGGAAAAACAAAGATTCCAGAGCATGAGACTATGATGCTCCAAGAAGAGGAACCAGTTATAGAAGATACCATACAAAACCAAGAATCTGCTTTTATGGATACTTCACCCATTGATGTAAATAGGATAGCATATGGTAAAACATGAAAACCAATCACAGCTTTACCATACTATAAGAGACTTACACCTGTTGACGTACAACTCGAAGAAGATGCCATACAACATGCTGTTTCCTATTCAGGAAGATCAATAGTCAACTGGGCAATAGATGGTTTATCAGAATTAAAAATACTAGATGTCATGAGACATATGACAATGTTTGCTTTAGCAAACAAAATGGCAGGCAATCCAGACCAAGAGGTTGCCATAGCAATAGTGAATGGATTCACTGGCTGGTTAAGAGGCTGGTGGGATTTCTATGTTGATGATGAAACAAAAAACAGAATCCTCACCAATACAAGACAATGGACCGCCAGAAATGAACAAAATCAAGAGATAATTTATATTGAAAGTGATGCAGTAAACACCTTAATATATACTATTACGCTACGTTTCGTAGGAAGTACAGCCCTATTAGCAGCAAGATCAGAAGATCTGCTATCTAATCTTCGCTGTCCTACTTTATCCCATTATAAATGGTATAAGGATGTCGTTTTCTCAAGATTACTTATACGAGAAGATTGTCAGTTAGACCATTGGAAAGAAAAATT